TGCTTCGCACTCAACCACCCGCGCCCGTGCTCGCACTCATTAAGATCGCCGTCTCGCGTGTGTCGTACTGTGTGTGTCTTGCGCGTCGTGTCGTGTCGTGTCGTGTGGTGTGGTGCATGCACAGATAAGCTGACGAAGCTGAACTACATGGAAACGATGACGTTTTTGTCCACCCTGCCATCGGTCATGCATAATTTTCGGAGTTACATCAACATCGCCATCGAGATGCTGGAGGACATGGCCTCCGAGTGATCGGCCGGCACACGGGCGCGCACTCGCAACTTCCTGTGCGCCACAGGGGCCACCTTGCAGCGCCATGAGCCAGCGAGCACGCAGTCCTCCAACCTGTTCCCCTTTCGCCGCTTTCTTCAGCCTCTTATTGTTGTATTCATCATTTTTGTGAAGAACTGCTGATGTTTGCCATCCACCGTTTCTTCCTGTCTATACACGTACACGTACCTGTCTTCTTCTTCTTCACTGTCGCTTGTTTCGCGCCAACGCATCTGCGATCTGGTCGGTGTATATATCGTTGGTCGTTAGGGGGGGGGGTGATGCTAGACACCTGAGAGTTATCAGAGGAGAAGAGTGGAGCACGCGTACCGATTGGATGGCGGCCTCGCCCTGGTTGCCCGCCATGTCCACCTCGAGCAAGGTACCATTCGCCGCCACCGCATCCGCCAACGCCTGCCACACAACCATTCCACTTCCGTTAGTGTGTGCGGTGGTGCGTGTGTCGTGTGTCGTGTGTCGTGTGTCGTGTGTCGTGTGTCGTGTGTCGTGTGTCGTGTGTCGTGTGTCGTGTGTCGTGTGTCGTGTGTCGTGTGTCGTGTGTCGTGTGTCGTGTGTCGTGTGTCGTGTGTCGTGTGTCGTGTGTCGTGTGTCGTGTGCGTGCGCTCGAACCTGGCTCCCTGCGGGGCCGATGGCGTTGTCTCGCAGGAAAATTCGCTGCAGGCTGTGGTTGCCCCTGATGGCCCGGGCGAGCGCGATGGCGCCCTCGTCCCCGATGCGGTTGTTGTTGAGGCTCAGCGTGGCCAGCGCGCACGCCTGCCGGTGGTCCATAAGGTGGATCATCCGGGCGAGGTGCTTGGCGCCGTCGGGTCCGATGTTGTTGAAGTCCAGGTAGAGCGACTTGAGCGCCGGCGGCGAAGGCGCTTCCTGGCTCTGCTCGCTTCCATCGCTCCCGCCATCGCCCATCGCGATCTGGGCCGCGTCGCGCCAGGCCCGCTCCTCAGTCGAGCTATTGGCCAGCGCGGCCGCGAGCGTCTCGATGCGCTGGTCGCCCAACGCCGCACGCCCGGACGTGGGCGCGTCCCAATACTCGTCCGGCCGCACCTTAAATAAAATAAAATAAATAAATAATCGCCAGAGGAATAAAATAACTAATAAAATAGAAATAAATAATGGAGATCATGCGAACCTGGAGGAGCTCGATTTGTTGGCGGTTGTGAGGGAGGCGGAGGAGCGATGTGATTTCTTCCCACACATGAAAGGGAAAGGGATCGTCAAGGAGCAGGTTGACCTCGTTGACATCATGGTCGTGCTTCTGCAGCGCTCGGGCCTCCACGATGGCCATCTCCGTTTTCGTCAGCCCCTTCCCAAAGCACCCGCCCATCTTTTGCACTTCGCACGATCAATCAACATTCTTTTTTTTTCTAAACTTTTTAATGGTTGGCCAACAGATAAAAAGTGGACCAACCGAGAGATTCTGATTTCTGGTTGGTGCGACTAAACAGGAGAAAATTCGGCCTTTTGCCTGCACATACCTGCACACAGGGCGCTTCTCCGCCAACCCAGTTCGCAAGCGAACGCTTTCGGGGTGAGCGTCAATCAACTTGGCATGATCATCAGGCTCGAACGGCGCAACAGTGGCAGTCACGCCATGAATGACGTGTGCCGTCGGACGGAGCGCTTCGGGTCGGGAGTGACGAGTTCAGGGCACCCCAGTGCTTGACGCGCCCGACAAGCCGTGCGCCAACCCCCTTCGCCCGTCTTCCACCAGCAACCTCCGCCGCTCTCCGACGAGACCCTCGGACCCGATCTCGTCCGAGCTGGCTCGCTGGCGTGCGAGGAGAACCGGGAATTCGGCGGAAGCGACCCACTCGCCGAGTTCGGTAGCGCACAGTGTGATGGCGTCGGGCCTTGATGGGTTGATGCGGTAAGGCGAAAGTTCTGCGTATGGGGCCAGGAACTCGTGATGGCCCTACGGGACGCACGGATGATACTGTGGGATCGCCAATCGGAGTTGTTTGGGGTGGTCTCTGCCAATCCCATTGGCGGAAGGGAGTCTGGCAAAATTCCCAAGAAGATTGAAGCCAGACTGTGGGAGGTTCGGGGTGGACTTGAGGGAGCGCACGGCCATCATGAGGAGATGAGGAAAGGGGTCATAAGGCCGTCGGGTCGCGGTGAAGAGCTTTCCCTTGTTTTGAACTTTGCCAACCCAACACACCACCCTATTGCCCTTCCACAGTAACGGGAGGGGCGCACTCCTCACCACCGCC